GAAATTAATAGAAAACAAAAAAAAACGGATTTTGAAAATAGGGGGAGGGCTTAAAAAATTGTCCTGTCCCCAAGTACCTATGACTTTTGATACCTGTCCTGAACTCTCCAGTTATACAATCTTTTACAAAAATTCATCCTACAACAGTTTACATACTTTCAACCACGCTCTAAATGCCCGCGATTTCGCGGGTGTGTTCTAGTTTCATTTATTTAAGAACAGCTGGAATTTATTTTACATGTATAACAGTATGATCTCGCTAATGTACGTTGTTTTCGAATATTACATTTGTGTTGGTTATTTTTTTTCAAAGACAACTTTTCAAAACGCCGGAGACCTAAGAATTTCTTAATTTAAAAGAGGGACGAAAGATACCAGAGGGACAGTCAAACTCATAGATCGAAAACAAACTGACAACGCCATGGCCAAAAATAAAAAGACAAACAGACAAACAATAGTACAGATGACACAACATAGAAAACCAAAGACTAAGCAACACGAACCCCACCAAAAACTGGGGGTGATCTCAGGTGCTCCGGAAGGGTAAGCAGATCCTGCTCCACATGTGGCACCCGTCGTGTTACTTATGCTATTACAAATCCGGTAAATAGTCTAATTCGGTAATACACATTCGTGAAAAGGGAGGGTATTGTAGTTACGACATAAGGAACATATCCGATATCATCTGTGAAACGGTTATTCCATAACGGTCAACCAACTCGTGATGGCGTCCGTAAAATTTACGAAGGGATGACTTCAACTTCACCATTTGGAACTCTTGGTTTAATAGCTTCCTTGTGAGCAGCAATCCTCTATCTGACTGACTTTTCTGACATCAAAATATAGCTTTTTGACAGGAGTATTCAACAGTATGTGTTAATAGTATTTCCTTTGCATACTAAGTGTGCATCAATTTTTTTAGTTACTGCTGTCTCGTTTCTTTTGAGGTGATTCATCGTTATTTACTGATGTGAGTAAGGGAATTTAGATAATGAAATTTAAAAAAAAACGGAGACCTAACAATGAGATAAGATAAACTGATTTTTTTATACCACCAGAAAGGTAAATAAATCTATGTAGAATTCGGTCGTATGTGTTAATAAGAATTCAGATGATTAATAAAAATAATATGAAGAATTAATGAAGGGTACCCATTTATTTTCCAATTACTTTCTATGTTAATCGAACATTATTAAAAACATTGCACCCCGGCAGTCGCTGATAAGGGTAATCGGCCATTAGTGTCCTTCATTCTTGGGTATGTATATATATAGTTTGTATTTCTCAAAGGGTCGTCATTAATTTGCTGTCTTGTATTTCTGTATTTTTGTATTTGTTTGTATTTTTATCATAGATATGATAGTTCCTAATAACGTTGTCTGGCCACAGAGTTTATTGTCATTAAGGCTAGAAAATGGTTATTTGCAACCGTCAAAGCAGTGATTGATGTCTCCAAGAGATAAAAATACAATACTGTTACAGTAGCTCTACTGTATAATTAAATGCCATTGCGGATATAATTGCCAAACAATTGCAAAATAAAGGCAACAGTAGTATACTGCTGTTCAATAGTCATAAATCGATTAAACGAAAGCAAATCCGGGTCATAAACCAAAACCGAGGGAAACACATCAACTATAAGAGGAAAACAACGGAATAACAGAAACACTGAACTGCAACAAAAACAAACGCCAACATACATAGAAACGGACTATTTGATAACAACTGCCATATTCCTGACTTGGTACAGGACATTTTAAGAAAAAATGATGGGTTGAACCTGGTTTTATGGCTAGCCAAACCTCCCACTTATATGTTAATGTTAAAAATACCGCTAAAATGACAACATTATGTGACAGGAATACAGTACAAATAAACGCAAGAACACTCTTGACAGAGAAACACGTTTTGAATATATTTTTCATAGAATAACATGATTTTGCATTAGAAGTATAACTAAAATGTATGCACTAAATCTCTTAAAAAACAAAAACAATTCAATATAAGTAACAGAAATTTAATAGTAATGCTAAGTTAAGTAACAAGTATGTTGTGAACAAGCTGATTCCCCATTCAATGAGTATTAAATTTTGTAGATCGTGAAACATAAAAAAAATACATAAAATTGCATAGAACTGTGAAATTTACATAAGAATAAAATATTTGTTCAATACCTGTAAAATTATATTGCGATAATTTGTTACATCAATGTTTTTAAAAGTATTAAAACAAATGCAAAATGGCAAAAAAATAGATGATTCACTGACAAATCAGATCTGTTTAGAAAATTTGAGGAAAAGGAGACTAGATATACAGTGCTAAAATTATACTTCAAATGAAAATATTGCAATAATTGTAAAATTATATGGTGATGATTTGGTACATAAACTGTTTGTAAAATTTAAGGAATCTATTCAAAATGTAATAATCTACAATGAACCCCAGTTCTTAAGCTTGTATTTGATACCAAAATAATCAACATTTTTATACATTTTAAATGTTAAAGCTATGAACTATTTTGTGTTAAATAGTACTACTTTCGAGTTTTTTTTTTCATCCTGAACAGGCCTAACTTAGTAGCTCTTTACATTAGGGTACCTCCTTTGTTTGTAAAATGTATAAAAGAAAATCCATTAGGAAATAGTCGATTGATGCACAAATAATAAAAGCCATTATCCTCCTTAAAAGATAAATTTGTCATAGTCATTCATTGATTATCTCCTATGTTAGTACATTTACTAGTTATAACTGAAGAAATACATACTCCATAAAGAATTCTTCTTTCTCAGATCATTATTTGTTGGCCGTTGAAGATGTAATAAGTAAAAATAAAGTAGATTTTATCGGTCTTAATTGAGTTAAAATATTGATTATTTTTCATTTCTATCTGTTCAACACCAGAATCATGAGACCATTATCTACACATGCTACATACAGTTATAGGACAAACGCCAAATTTCATCCTAAAATTTAGGAGATATCAAATTGCGCCATTTATTGATGTTAATTAATCCATTCAACATATTACAACCTTTTATCAGACTCCCTGCTGGTAGAGATTAGAAAGTCAGATGAATGGGAATGAAACTTTTATCTGTGACCATGGTAATCAGACCACTGACCATAGAGACAAATAGATTATGTCGGAAATAATATATTAGATCAGAATTTGTAGAAGAACACTATTTTATAGAACCTTAAAGAGTGAAATTTGTTCCAGGAATACAACATATGTGTATATAATATATCATTAGTTACAGAAATGAATTACTAAATTAATAGTGACACAAGCATGTCAATTGCGATTCAAGGATTTTGAAAAGGGGAGACACCAAGGCATCGTTAGGAGTATCTACATCTGAATGTGAACCTGTTTAAGTCTTGAATTTAAATTATTGGAAAATATTTTTTATTTACACCATTATTTAAAAAATAATTCAAAATCGCTCGAATAAAAAAAGTTGAAAGACCAAAATAAAGTACAAAATTGAAGAGCAAAATTCAAAGTTCTGTCAACAGTTTATTTATAATAACATTAGTGCAAAAAAAAACTTATAACAGTAAAATATTGAAAAAAGAAAAAAAAAAATTCTCTGGATGCTGTCATTGTATAAAAGACGTGTCTGTCATTTAATAAATTCCGTGAAGGTTTAACAAAAATGTTGACATTTTAAAAAAGAAAATAACCAAAGAATGAATCTAAATGTTGATGACATGACTAGAGAAGGATTAGTTTAGTTTCAAAAATAATATTTTATTTTTAATTTTTCAAAAGTGCACAAACGGCAATTATACAATAGAAATACAGGGATTTGGAAACAAGAAGAACTTATATAAATCCTTTTCCCATAGAAGGATTGTTATGGTGTTATACCACAAAATCATAGTACGTCATATCAAAAAAGGGTTGAACAAAAATATTCCCTTGAATTTGACAGTTGTAGGAAATTAATCCTATATAAAAAAATTATGAGTCATAAACATATACATTTTGTTGTATCTTGGGTGTTTCAAAGCACCATTATTTTTTTTTTGTGTTTCTATAGAATATTTTGGGAACTTGAGGTTACATGGTTACTAAAGGTGGTACATAGGAAAAAAAGGGGTGAAAATTTGATTGGTTAACTTCCAGTGATGGTTATTTTCTTATATGCAATGAAAGGTTATGTGAAATTTTGTCAGTAGTACTGGACAGGATAAAACTTTACTCATGCCAAGTATTTCTTTATTTGAAACAAAGATAAATTCTGCACAATTTTTTGAATAGTGCAAATTTAACAAAGACTAATAGGGGAAAAACAATGGTGGTATAACACCTTATGTATAGCTTTGGCGACTTTAGTTGCAGGCTAGACAAATAGTAAATTGTAAAACTGGAAATATTGAAAATGTCAAGATTTTTTTTGGTGAAAGACATATTTGTAATGAATTTTGAACTACTTTATAAATTTTTAAAACTTGTGTTGGATTTTTTACACCATTATTTAGAGAAAACATTTTCAAAGTGTGCCTGTGGTACGAGAACATTAAATTCGATAACTTCTCAAGTTTCATTCCAGTATACAAAAAATATTTTACAAAATCACTCATTTCTTATTCATATTTATATTGTAGATTTAGTTATACGCTTAAATATAAAAATAAAATACTAAACACAAATACTCTGTTTTCAAATGTTTGCATTGCCTTGTATTAACTTTAACTAAAAAAGGGGGGAGGGGGTCCTTGTGAATATAAAATTCAAAAGTCAGAAGAGTTTGCCACTAGCTGATTCTGATAATAATCTATTTATGTGGAACAGTACTTTTACAATCTATAGTACACATGTGGTCATTTCTGGTCAGTCATCTAAAATATTGTGGTAATCAGACGGTTTCCTGCTGTGAAGACAAATAAACAAGTGTTTGAATAAATGATTTATCAATAAGCTGTTAATTGGTTAATGTTCTGGCTATTTTGCTGAAGAAACTCAAAATCTGGCGTTTGTCCTATAACTGCATAGATAGTAAGATGATTAAAGCTGTTATCCTAATGCTAGCAAGTTAAAGGTTTGGTTGGCTTGCTTGCTTTGTTTGTATAAATGTTTGCTCAAGCATTGTAATTAAGATTGACATCTGAAAACAATATAAAAAGGCGGAGTTAAACTTGTATACATTATATTTAAATTTGATTGGACATTATCAAATAATCAAATTTACCTATATACAGGTTTGACTTCGCCTACTTATATTGTTTGCAGATGTCAATCTTAAATACAATGCTTAAGCAAACATTCATACAAACAAAGCAAGCAAGCCAACCAAACCTTTAACTTGCTAGCATTAGGATAACAGCTTTAATAAAACATGGATCATTTCCTTGAATTATTTCCCTTGTTTGTAAAGTTACATTCCTTAAAGTTGACAATGAGAATGTGTGCTAGTTCATTTCCCCTGTCGGTAGAATTTATATCCAGCATTTGGTTCAAAGTCTTCATAGGTAATTTTCTCCTCTTCAGTCTGTGTATGGCATGACACCACATTTACTGGAGGTGTGTAGGTTTTTATGTAACGTGTTTCTGTCACTGTGTAAATAATTCCTTCTTTAAACGTCTTTAAAATGTATAAAAGTCCTGCTATAATTAAAGCTAGACCTGAAAAAAGACCATCAATGAAATGAGACAGCATATCAACGAAACAAAAAGGAAGAAATGAGGGTCAGAATGGAGTTTACAGATAAAGAGAATAATGGGCAAAATATAAAGAGTAAAGGTAAAATATTATTCAGAATGGAGGAAAAAATGGCAAAAGAATAAAGAATAGAGAACTTTGGACACGAAAACAAAGAATAGAAAGAATGGCATAAAAAATGTTTAAAATATAGATATGAAGAACCCACCCAGACCCTCAGGTATACTGAAGAATGACAGGTTAGAAAGCCGAACACTTTGATAAAGAACATCAAAATAAAAATAGACACTGACCATCATTTTGTCTTTTATTGCATCAAATTTGAAAAATTATCATGTATTGTATAATTATGTAATGTTTGCATGAATCAATTTTCAATCTACAAAGGTGAATCATATTTTCTCTTTGACAATGATTTTTTTTCAGAAAAAGAAATTTTAACGCAACAAATTCTGTATATCTATTATTCAAAATGAATTACCTGAAATAAAACCTAAGATAACTTTTGTACCAATCAGAAATATAGGTATAGTAAGCAATAAGTATAAAATGCCCTTCTTCCAGTTATCTATCCACATGACCACAGACCAACATCTACAACAGCATCCCTCTTTGCTGAAATGAAATAATAAATTGATTTACATGTAAAACAAACAATACTGTAACTTGGTTTATTTTTGCAGAATAAAAGTTTGCGACATTTGGGCCAAATCTGATTTTATACCCTGCTACAAAATGTTGGGGTGGGTCATTTCGGTTTACCCCCCGTCCGTAAGTCCATCTGTCTGTCCGTCCGTCCGTCCAGTAATCCGTCCCACATATAATGAACATTGTTTGTTCGGTTAACTCCTACTTAGGTGTTCAAGCTTTAACTTTTAAATTTATGTAGGACATTAAAACATATACTAAAGTTAGTCCTATAACATTTGACCTCGTGGGTAATATTTTCTATTTCTGTTTGTTTCTGATATTTTCTTTTTACTTATTTTGCTATTTGTTATTTGTTATTTACTGTTTTGACTATCAATGTGCTAGAACTTTCATAGCATGTCGGATGTTATTCATATTATTATATGGATTTGGATTTTCTTCATCTTTTTGAATCCTACAGTTTTTAAGATATTACTTTTATATTATGCAAGATATCATAACATTTATTAAAAGTGTATCTATTATCAGGATTATGATTATCTTTAAAATTTCTACTAATCGACAGAATGCTTTATCTTTTTTGGCGTGGTCATCAAATGTGTCTTTCAGATACAACCGTTGCAAATTGCATTTCAACATCATTACTATAAATCCAATGTTGGTGGCATTATATTCATGCATGCTCCGGGGGCATAATCTTTGTCTAGTTGATGATTTATTTTTATTTGTTTTGTTGTCCCTGGTTCAGATCTTCCCTAAAGATAAGATTTACCTGAGGGGATATTTTCCCGATTTGATTTTATTCACAAAATCAGCGGGAATAAAATTCTTGCGAAAAATTTCCCACTTTACACTATTTTTCAATATCCCAAACCTTGCATTTACCACATTTTGATTCTTGGCTGATGTTTAACACAGTGTGTATAAATTATCCATCCATACACAGGGTGTCTAAAGATACCTTTGATTGTACAAGTGGAGAAAAAGTACAATCAAACATGCTGATATCTATATAGATGATAAACTTTCAAAAGTAAACTTCAGTATGGTGTAACTACTACGTTATTAAAATATCTGCTATCATATCCTTGTGTCCAACACAAGATGAGAGTGATCTTGCATGCCACATGGCACATCCAATCTTGGCAAATAATGCATATAATTGAAAATGAAACAATGATCTAGATATCTGTGTTTGTGTAAGATAGCCTTTTGTGCTACATGTACATCAATCTAATATGTAAAGAAAACATCATCATACATTATATGAGCAGCTAATATTTATACTTAACACATCAGGGTCAATTTCAAATCCGATAACGTAACAGTCTGACTAATATCTGTACAACTGACTAATATCTGTACAACTCTTATATGCATGTAATAGTTGCCACTCGAGGTTAAACACCAATTCATCATATACCTATATATGCACACAAAGTGCGATAATATAATCAGCTCAGTAGTCAGTACTTCGGTATTGACATGATTTATAACAAACCTTTCTAAAATTGTCTGTTTATAAATTTTGAAATTATAAAGAAACTAAGGTTTCAACTCCCTCAGGCAAAGTTAACCTTAGATGAATTTGGCTATTTGTTTTAGGTATTTTTGTCATACAGCTCTTCAACTGTTTCGGTACTTATACATCCCTCGGATTTCAAATGTTTGCTTTGAGCGTTCCTGATGAAGGTAAATCCAGAAAAGCGCTTCGGACGCATGAAATTTAATTATTAAACGTGTTGTTTTAATTTTTTTGTTATACCTGCAGCATGTACATTTGTTTATCATCCAAGTTAGTTCTAGTAGTGTAACTAAAATACTGGCTGCTCTGAAAAAAAATGAAAATAGCAATTAATACATTTTACTACTAGTATTCAAATACTACACTACTGCTTATTTGGAACTTTTTACAATAATTTGTAAAATGTAATTGTATGGAAACAAAATTCTTTTAAATTTAAATTTAAATAAGCTATCATCCATTTTGCTTAGTAAACCAGCATTTGGATATCATATTTCAATTGCTTATGGACAAGTTTCTCCGAGTTTCTGAAGTTAATTTTTACTTTTTATAGTGTAAAAAGTTCGATAAAGGCTACTGACTTAAAAATTTAGCTGTAGAGAAACATTTAAGAATGTTCCTATAAATGTGTATAGACAAGACCCTTGTAGAAGTCTCTTAACATATAGATATCTAATTCTCTGTTGCTATTTTTATTTATTTATGATAATGCTAAGTTCGCCCCAGATATGCATGAAATATTTTCCACTGAAAGTTACGCATACACCAATCAGCCATACCACAAACACCACATTCTTCAAATAGCTAATTAAAACAATGAAATATGACAAAAGACAACTATTGACGACATTCCTGATAAGTTACAAGCAAATAATCATGTTCTGTTTGTCTCTCAATCTGGAGATGTAGCTTAAGATTCAGTATAAAACACACGTTCGTGTCATGTTAGAACTGGATTCAAGTTGTGTTAGATATCTTGAGAGGTTTTTACTTACAGTATGTACCAACCCCAGTATAATGGCGCTCCAGAAGCAAACTGTAGAGTTGTTACGCTGGTTGACCACATGACTGAAACAAGAAAGTAAATCATCATGATAAATGCTAGCCTGTTCGTTCAATAATAGTAATGTTTTCCTGGGACTAGAAAAACCCTAAAAGTATATCATCTATTGGTACAGGTGTATTACAGTACAGAAAGGATTTCAGTTTATTCAAAATCCTTTTGGGATAGAATAGATGCAACGGTTAGTACGTCAAGATGACTTATGATTCAAAAACATCCACGTGATTGTTTATGGTATTTGACCAAAACAAGGGAGAAAATACCAAGGGAAATATCAAATGCATCGAGTTGAAGAAAAACAGACTGCCATAACCGAAAACAAAACCGACACAAGACCATAATAAGCCCACAAAACACTACACAGAAAACTAAATATTGAGCAACATAAACCACACCAAAAAAGACAGGAATGAACTTTTTGCTGCGGAAGTGGTAAAAGTCAGTTGAAAATAGTTAGTATTGTTAGTTTACGTATAGTCTGTTTCTTTGGACTCTATTTCACTGGCCCGTCTTCTTTCGAGATTTCACATATTCCAAGTATGTAAAAAATGCAATTTGGGTGGTGATTATCAATTTGTTTGCATCTACAACTAAGCGGAAATGTCATACTCGCAATCGTGTATCGTTTGCTCTCATCAAAATGTTATCGAATGTGCATGGTAATATATAATTTACTAGTATTTTAAAAGATATTCAAGAAGGTTTTGTTTAGATTTAGAAATGTATTTTATCATATTTTTGTTTGTAATAAAAAATAAAATAACAAAAATACCGAACTCCAAGGAAAATTCAAATCGGAAAGTCCCGTACCAAATGGCAAAATCAAAAGCTCAAACACATCAAACGAATGTTCCAACTGTCATATTCTCGATTTGGTACAGGCATTTCCTTGTGTAGCAAATGGTGGATTAAACCTGGTTTTATAGCTAGCTAAACCTCTCACTTGTATGACAGTCGCATAAAATTCCATTATATTGACAACAATGTGTGAACAAAACAAACCGACTTAACAGGTAAAAATGTCAAAAAATGGGGTACAGCAGTCAACATTGTGTTATTACATTAATCACTATAAAAACAAACAAATATGTCAACAAAGAAAAACAAAATGGAATATAGACAAAGTACATAAGCAAAAATGAAATGTATTTTATCATATTTTTGTTTGTAATAAAAAATAAAATAACAAAAATACCGAACTCCAAGGAAAATTCAAATCGGAAAGTCCCGTACCAAATGGCAAAATCAAAAGCTCAAACACATCAAACGAATGGAAAACAACTGTCATATTCTTGATTTGGTACAGGCATTTCCTTGTGTAGCAAATGGTGGACTAAACCTGGTTTTATAGCTAGCTAAACCTCTCACTTGTATGACAGTCGCATAAAATTCCATTATATTGACAACAATGTGTGAACAAAACAAACCGACTTTAAAGGTAAAAATGTCAAAAAATGGGGTACAGCAGTCAACATTGTGTTATTACCTTAATCACTATAAAAACAAACAAATATGTCAACAAAGAAAAACAAAATGGCATATAGACAAAGCACATAAGCAAAAATGAAAGACAAGAATACAAAAAATTACCACAGCACAACACATTGGCGGGATGCATAAGTACCGAGCCACGCCAAAAGGAATTACCAAAAATGAACTAAACAGTAAAGTTAAATGATTTACAAAGATAAATGAAACACCACTATAACACGAAATTAAGATGATAAACAACATCAGTACCCAGAATCTATTCTTCAAGACCATCATGTATTATTTGTGAAGTTGATACGGAATATTTATCAACAAAGTATTGATACTTGCATTCTTTTTTATTGATTTTGTTTTCCTACTTATATCCAGTGAATTCCGGAATGCAAATAAATGAAAAAAAAAATATCCAGTATAATCCTGAATCATACTAACAAATAGTTTTCAGCAATGTTCTGGGTTATTCTTAAAATTTAGGACGATTCAGGATCCTCTTAGATCACATATAGATGTATCCCAATTTATATTTTACTAGATATTATAATTCTGGTCTGTACTAGATTTTTTGTATTGTAACATATACACATTAAATCGTCTAGTATTGATGTTATGGAAATATATTATTAATTCGTATATTTTAACAAATTTGATTCGTTTAGGGATAGTCACATGTTAAACTATATTTTCGAAGGTAGAGAGAAAACGGCGGATAGCAAAAAGCATATTGCACGGTTATTTTTAGAATATCTAAAAACCGATATACTTTGTGACGTCATGTAATGAATTTCAGGATATTGTTCAACGTTTTGAAACAAATGACATCTGTGATCGATTATTTGACAAAATTTTTTTTTAAATACATAAGATGTCAAACAAACAAAAAAAAGTAAATGAAATAACAACTAATATGTTGTTATTGTCAAGGAGACAATATAATATCTATAAAATTCCAACAAAATCAAATGACGATTTTGATACAAATATGGTCGAAAATTAATAATATAACAAATATAGCCTTTGTATGAGGTCAATACAGGATATATCGACCCAAAGAAGTATATCGACCTCGGACTTCGTCCTCAGTCAATATACTTCTTTCAGGTCAATATATCCTTGTATCGACCTCATACAAAGGCTATATTTGTATAATATAAAAGTATGATGACATTGTCATAAAATTTCATATGATAACTATTCACATTATTACCGGGAAAGAATTGTCTATAATATGAAATGTATCATATATGACAGATTGAATGAATCCTCTGATTCGATTCTTGACATTTTAGACGACAAAAACGTACAGTAGCAATGTCCTTTCCCTCGTCATGCCTGTACTCACAATTGTCGAAATTTTCAAGAAAACATCAAAATCTTAAGTTTTAGACTAAAAGTCACGAAGTATGACAGTATTTAATGAGTTAGATTGCGTGAATCGTCCGAAGCTTTTCTTCTGTCAAGGGTATTAATTGCAAACTCTTCCAATCTATGCTGCCAAGGATTTGTATAGTAAGACTTACTATACAAATACTTGATGCTGCTAATGAGTTGAACTCAAATGTGTAAGTACATACTGTACAGGGAAAGTGATATATCAGCATTTTAGTCAACAGCAGTTTACCGATGTTCAAATCTATATAAGTAGATTAAGAAGATAAAAATCAAGGTAACAGAAAAAAAATTGAGGAGCGCGGAAAAGCAGCAAATATCAAATTTAAAGGTCTCGTGATAGCTTGTTCATCTCGAGTATGGGAGGTCGTGAGTTCGATCATCGAAACCAAACCAAAAGTCTTGGGCTTTGGTATTTGCAGCTTCTCCGATAAGCAAGCGGCGTTTAGGGCTAAGAGCAGATACTGGTTGGCTTGCAGTCGGAATAATATGTCTAGGGAGGATGACATGCCACAGTCTTTCTGCGAATTGTTACCTTGTGAAGCAGCACGTTAAAATCCGGCTCAGCGTTCTAGTTTAGTACAACTCAGGGTCATATTCATATCTCAACAACATGTTCTTGTCCTGATATGGAATGCATGTAATATTCGCCACTGACCATTTAAACGCCAGTCGATCATCGATTATCCAAGTTTAAAGCTGGTTTTCCTGATCCAGAGTCATAGAACTCAACACAACCTGCGACTATCACAAGACCACCGGGTTGGCGTATGGGTTGTTGGTCACGAAGGGGAAGGGGAATGCAGGACTATATATATGTAACATTCCAATAAAATAAAAAAATGAAAGCTTTTTTTTTAATTAACCTCTACTCTAAAATGTTAAGTCAGTATTTTTGCAGTGTTCATTATACGAATTTTTTTTAGATAGGCATTTCTTGGAAGTTTGCATTTCATTATGAACAGGCTTATTCCATCTGTGAATAGACCATGGTATGATGGCAGACTGAATTCATTGTAAAACTCACGTGCTAGGGTGCCCATGGTCCATAGTCTGGCTACTGCCGGTATATAAGCCAAAAGCTTAGGTTGTGTTGGTGGTCCAGTTTCAGTCCTAAGGATACGATCCTTTTCCATCACAAAGTAGCATTTTACAAACTAACACACATGGTTAACCTATCAATATCTGTACACAAATGCCACGCAATACTCGATTTAAACTATTTAAACTATTTTTGTCTATAATTTACACACTTTGTATATACATACATGTATTTAAAAAGTTTGTGTATATAAAAGGGTTTAAAATCCTTGTCCTCTCATGTAGAACGACATAAATACAAGATTTTATCTATCATGTTTATTCAGATGTTGCAAGCTGTTGTCATCGATTTTTTTCGACATTCAGTTTGTTGTGGATTTGGGCGAACTATTATTTGAGATTTAGTGATGCTTATAATTACAACAATAAAGATATGTGTATTTGTTTCATACCCAGTCATCATAGTATAAGGTCCTTTCATCGGCACATTGTCCCTATTTGATGCGGGGAAATATATGTGGATTAAAAACTCACGAATTAGGAGTCAATCGGAAAATGCCGTCACTGCGAAATTTAGAGAATTAGATTTTGTGGTTAATAACCGATATCATGAATCCACTGTAAATCAGTATTAGCATTTATATTCAATGTCATTGTCATGCTTTAACCACATAATTGTCACGGAATAGAAGTTCCTTCGTGATATAAGTTCCAAATGGAAACAATATTCTGGAATGATTATTTCCACTGGAATAAATATTACAGTAAATGTTCGTAACGGAATAAATTGTATAGAATATTTGTTCCAACAGGAACAGATATTATGACATTGTTTACATAATGACCATGCTTTTGCTGAAGCATACAAACTTGGTATTCTTCACGCTCATTTATATCGGTGCTTATCCATTTGAAGTCTCGAAAGAGTCGAGCAGTTCCAGACTATTCTACTTCGCCGCTTGTTGGTTTTGACGCTTTGTATGTTCTAATAATTAAGAAACGTCTGTATTTGTTTCAAACCTGAAACTGTCTTCAGTTTTGGTTGTCTGTATATATGCCCATTTTCGGAAAGGGGACCAGAAAAAAGATATCTGATAATTTTTTGGGCGGAATGAAAACCATTGCCTCTGGAAGTGGTCATTAGGACTATATGCCCGCTGCATCAATTGAATTTGAATGTCTTTCTAACACCACGGGTGTCAATCGGTATATCGAGAAAAATGATCGTGAAAGAATAACTAACGGTGGTCAAGCATTGCAATCGGATCTTGTACGTTTTGTATCTATAATGGTCGCATTCCAATATTTCATGATATATTTGAAACTTAATCTTTGTTGTGTCAAGAAGTCCAGTAAAATAAAAGAATGTTGTTAATTGAAAAAGTTCATATTATTTTTTAAAAAGTATAATTTTGTTGATTTTTAATCAAAATTGATCGTGAAAAATCATTCAACGCATTATTTTCATCGTGAAAGACAAGGCGTGACCAGACTTAAGGGCATACGATACAGTTTCGATCCCACGGTGATTTTTTCACGAAAATTTGCATACAAGCTATTTTTCACCTGGTCAATTGAAATATGCAATAAAAAATATACCTGCATGTGCTAAATTTAGAGATAAATGGGGTCGAAATTTTAGACATTTACATAAAATTTCCGTTTCTTGGACATTTCTATCCTTTTGATAGACATATTAAACTTTTTTGTTTCAAAAGATAAACACATGCGTATTTTTGTAAAACGATTTGGAATATCTTCTTTACAAGTATCTGGTGGTTTTCTCCTGGAAATATCTTAATATGTACGTTTTTGCTTCCGTAAGGTTTAAACCAAAGAAGCTATATCATTTAATTTGACATATACAGGTGTATCGAAGATGTTCTTTCCATTAACAATACAAACTTTTCTGATTGGGTCCCATTTATAGTCATGAACTAAAGATTACAGACACCACATATTCAGATTCCTTAGCCTCATTTTCAGACATATACTCCGAATTTGATTACAGCGGTTATCTCAATACCAGAGTATTTAGTGTCCATCAGTTCGAAAAATCGTGCACAAGACTTTGAAAGTCGTGCACACGGGCTGAAAAGTCGTGCGAACGAGGTTCAAAGTCGTGTGAAAGATTATTCAGACTAGTGCGCACCAGATTAAATCTCCGGCAAACGAAAAAAATGTATTTACTTGACACTTAATTGGCTCCGTATTTATGCTTTACTATACTGACTGTATCATCAACTACAAAAACTTTTTTGTTTGCGTCTTTGTTTGATTTAACAAGTGTGTTTGCTCATAGGCACTCATACCACATCTTCTTATTTATATTGAATATTAAATATAGTTGTGTTGTATTTCTGTGTATGTTTACACAATTTTAGGTGCTGGATCCAAGATATAGCCACGTTAACCAATTATGCCTGTTTGGGCTGCTTACATTGGGCAATATTATGGAACATTAAACAACTGTCAAACAAGTGGGCGTATTAGCTAGCTAGAAATCAGATTTAACCCACCATTTTCTTAGGAAAATGCCTGTGTCAAGTTAGGAATATAGCAGTTGTTTTCCTGCGGGTTTTTTTAACAATGTTTTTTCCAATTTTTCAAAAATCACCAAATGTCTTCGTTTTATAGATATGACTGTGCATAAAAATTAAGGGAAATCAGATGAGAAAATCTTAACTTTTCAAACGACATTAAACTTATGCAGGACTGACAGACGGACTTAGATTGTTAAAGCCACTAGTCGGTGTGTATTATCAAATAATCAGATCTAGCCCTATTCACAAACAAAAGTGAAGCGGAATAAGTCATGCAAATCCATTCTTTTGTTATACCAATTACAAATATGAATTATCATTTGTTTAAACAAAGACTTGATCGTTTTCGTGGATTTTTGCAATAACGAATTAGCGGCCGCAGATCTTTTCATCAAAATGCGGTACCCTATCTTTCACGATCCGAAATATCAAATTTTTACAAATATTATCATTTTTGCAAAGTTTCTGATTAAACAGAATCAAAATAACTTTAAGATTTATTTTAAACAGTAAAATTGAACGATATTTTTAAGAGAAAGGTAGTTTGTGCATTAGAAATTTGAAAAAAAACATGTTTGTTTACATTTTTATTTCTCTGAAATTTCGATGAGCAATCTGCCTTTTGTGGTTTTGTAAAAACGGTGTACTTTTAAGCCTTGGTTTTTCTCGGATACTGATCATAATGTTGAACCCTTTTGACAAACAATTTTATTTTTCCAATATTTGTCACTATAATTGATTAAATTAGATTATTTACTGACATTGCATTTGTCATCTCGATAAGTTTCATTCACGATCCTATACCAGATCTTTCACGATCCAATCGCAATACCTGACCACCGTTACTTATTCTTTCACGTTCATTTTTCTCGATATACCAAAAGACAGCCGTGAACACGACATATAATTATATCTGTAAATGTCTTAAATCAAACATTCACGTTTTTGGATTTTTTTTATTTCTTCATCACGTCTTCTGATTCATGCGGAAACTTCACAGTGTAGTGAAGTTAATATTTTGAAATGATCACAATATACCCTAGGCAATGAACATATCTTCAGAATTTCGTATAATCTTATTAAATTTTGAGCTTAAATCTTGAATAAAAATTATCTATTAAGACGATTGTTATGTTAAAAGATAGACTGTATTTAAGATAATAGATAATAGAGAGTTTATCTAAAGAGATGACAACAGAATTTATCAAGCAAGCGACACTAAAACGTAAGAGTAAAGACGGGTCCAGAATAAAAGTGACATGTCTTCCTCTTGACTATTACATTAAAAATTCGGCTAATCGCGTCGTTCTTCTTTACAAAGCAGTGTTCATATATCGCGTTGATCTGTCACTAGTATTATCGTCATGAATATGCATTTAAATTGCCGCTGGGCGTGAAATAGCCATCAATCATCATCATCTAAAGAGAATTGTTATGACCTCTGTGTTAAGAGGTTACAGGCAACGGAGTTAGTTGAAGAAACTAGCAACAGAAACACGAAGCAGGTCTTGATATATTGGTCGCTACAATAAGTTTCATATCTTAAAAGTAACAATATGGACTTCGTAGATTTTAAGAGTAATTGTAAATAATACAAATTGTGTTGACAAGATTCTTTTCCGTCATTATGTTTGCTATTGATCTTTTCTATAAGTCTTAGAATGCTTGTTTATTACAGATCTTTTATTTTTACCGATCGTTTCCGAATTCCATTCTAGGTATTTTTCATTTCCTATCGTTAATTATCCATTTTTAGATGGTGACGTTCCCTTGTCACCATCTTATGGTGTTTATATATCTCAACTTGTACGATTCGCTCGTGTATGTAACAACGAATTAGATTTTAGCGAGAGAAATTTATGTATTACTGAAAAATTATTACACCAGGGTTTTCGATATCATAAACTAGTCAAAACAGTTACTAAATTTTATTATCGGTATAAGGACATCAGTCGTAAATATAACTCAACATGCAGACATCTTATACGTTCGGGTATTTCACATCCAATCTCACTGCATGAAATGATACGTTTACAAAATTTATTCATATATTAAATTTCTAGTTTTGAATTTAAGGTCTGATTTATGAAGAATTATTTTAGTAGTTTATGAAAATTTCATAATTTTGTTAAATTTCTTATTTTCTTAAGTTTAATTCCGATTTATGGGTTATTAAATTTGTTATTTATTTGAAAAATAATACCAGTTTAAATTTGTTATTTAAAAGGTTTAAATCTAGTTTATCACCGTTAAATTTTTCGTTTAAATGTACGTTTATTTTTTAACAAAACTATTAATATAAGACAATTTAATTTATTCAGATTTAAAAATATCTTTAAACTAGGTTGAAATTTGGGAATTTATTTGCTTTATTAAATTTAGTTTAAACTTATGTTAAATTAGAAATTTTCCAGTGAAGTAAATGCATATAATTTTTTTCAATTTGAAATTTAATATGCATAAAATATGTATTTAATTTCCTATTAAATGCATCATTTCATGCAGTGTCTTTTATGGTAATATTCTTTACAAAGCACAAAAATGTCAGTATTCACCTCAAAAGCTAACAAAACCTTTAAACAGACTTATTAAGAAGGGATATAGTTACGATACTGTTGTCAGGTCATTAAAGATTGCATATTTTGGCTTTTATATTGATTCACTTATAGGGTCTTTGCATCGGAATTAAACATATTTATTCTAAAACCAGTTGTTGGCATGACACGGGTTATGTTCTTCTCATATATTTTATGATGGTATAATATTAAACCCCTAACAGGAGGGATTGTGCCTGATATTCATATGATGAAGACATAATCTTTCAATCAGTTTAATTGAGGTCTGGAGCTGGCATGTCAGTAACTGCTAGTAGTCTGTTGTTATTTATGTATTATTGTCATTTTGTTTATTTTCTTTTGTTTCCTATTCTGACATCGGACTCGGACTTCTCTTAAACTGAGTTTTACTTTGCGTACTGTTGTGCGTTTGTTTTTTCTACATTGGCTAGAGGTATAGGGGGAGGGTTGAGATCTCAAAAAACATGTTTAACCCCGTCGCATTTTTGCGCCTGTCCAAGTCAGGAGCCTCTGGCCTTTGTTAATCTTGTATCATTTTTAATTTTAGTTTCTTGTGTATAATTTGGAGTTTAGTATGACGTCTATTATCACTGAACTAGTATACATATTTGTTTAGAGGCCAGCTGAAGGACGCCTCCGGGTGCGGGGGTTTCTCGCTGCATTGAAGACCCATGGGTGGCCTTCGGCTGTAGTCTGCTCTGTTCGGGTTGTTGTCTCTTTGACACATTCCCCATTTCCATTCTCAATTTTATGTACAGTTATGTTCCCACACTGAGCTGGCATATTCGAGTATTGGTCTTACAAGGCTTCAACATTATTTCACAATTCAAATTTAAATATCTATGGCAAAAGTAGATTACAGTTATCGATTATGACGGTGCATGCTGTAATTAGTTATAAAACCTTCGATTTCAAATGATAGATATCATAAAGAATCATGCGGATATTGACAAAAAAGCGATCTCAGTTCAGTGTAGTGAGCATACACAGCATATTAAGTCTATAAAAGAGCACCTGCAAATCAACTTCTTTTTTACTCTTATAAAAAGTCGTGTTGACCTTTAGTCGTCTTCTGTGTATATCCCTTTTTACTCAAATCTTATTTTTGACAACTGCAGATAGTCTTATTCTAATTTTTTTTTTTGATTGAACAAGTATAAATGATTGTTTGATTTATATTTGCATGATATCCAGTCACCATTCCAGTGGCAAATATTATAAGTATAATCTGCAGATAAAAAGTAATATGCAGTACCTTATATTTGACCAATAAGACTATGCTACTGAATGTCTTCTCAATTTTCATGAGCTGACTTAATGTCTCAACAATATAAATTATGCCAATAACCTCCCTTTATTTATGTCATGATTATAATATGATTAGAACCTCAAAATACCAGTTTAAAGATGTACTTAGGTGAAATTAAAAAAATCTAGAATTTAAAATTGATACTATAAGACAGAAGAGCATTAGTTAGGGAACAAAACAAGCTAAAAATATTAATAGGTTATGGAGCTCCTTTTCGCGAAATTTCATTTTTTTTAAATGGCGGGAAAAGGCTGACTCGGACTTTTACCTTATATTTGCATTGGTGTTATTTGGGTCTTAAATCGAAAGAAAAGAAACTAGAATCTACTTAAATTTTGGTAAATGACCTTTTATTATTCTGAGTTATTGAAGTCTTATATGAAAAGAAAAATGGGTGTTATGGGGCAAAATATTTTACCCTGTATCATAGGAAAAAAACCAAGGAGTCCGAACATCTGACACAAATCCCGAATTATCATAATTTGATATGGTCATAAATTTTTATAAATTAACTGTTTACATAACTTTATATTTTTGAAATACTAATTAAGGCTTTTCTACCTCAGGAATAGATTACCTTAGCTGTATTTGGAAAAACTTTTAGGAAATTTTGGTCCTCAATGCTCTTCAACTTGTACTTTATTTGGCCTTTTTAACTTTTTTTGATTCGAGCGTCACTGATGAGTCTTTTGTAGACGAAACATGGTGCAAATCCAAATTTCAATCCTGGTATCTTTGATGAGTTTATCCTAAACCTCACCTAAGTACATCCTTAAAGTCTCAAATTTGGTGGTTTAGTGAGCTCACCATTTACCACATCTTTGTTCACCAATAAAACCTGGTCTCCATGAAGTAGCCAAGTGTGCTGAAAGTGGCATAAAACGCCCAACAATCAATCATTATTCTGTCTAGGTACATCACTGACATTTTAAGATTATATGTGGTAGCTTAACATTTTCAGCTCTTTGCATTTAAGCTTGGTATATATCAGCTACCAAATTTCAGCACAAAACTGATAAACCATAGTGCCAAAATTGAATTTCATATTCATAATTTTTAAAAATGTCTAAATCTAATGGTCAATATAGTGTACCAGTCAGAATGAAACTTGTATTTGAAACTACTAAATATACAATCATAAACAAATATCAACTAAATATTGACAACAAAATGATTGAATGATTTTTTTGGTGTTTTAACTCCACATTCAGCACTATTGGCTATATCATGGAAACCAATTTTTATTGGTTGAGGAAGACAGTGTGCCCAGAGATTCCACCTTGGACAGAAAAACAGGCAGTTCCATTGCACCTGCCAGGTGTGTGGGGTTCAAACTCACAATCTCAGTGTTGACAGGCTAGTGATATAGTTGATGAACTACTTCGATAACTCAGCCAACTAGTCCAACTGGACAACAAAAAGACAACTATCATTGATTACTTCCTTTACTGTTTTGAATTATTTAGGCCAATGTCCAGTTGTGTCAGATGAAAAGACCAAAGGAAGATAGAAGCCAAGTGATAAGAAAAGGTTGTCTCTAACTTTCTAGGTCACATGAGCTAAAAAGATGATGCACACAGTGCTTTTATACAACAAATTAGGAAGGAAAAAATCCAAAAAGTGATTTTGAGTACAGGGAGATAATCCAAATCAACACTATTATAGCATTTAAATTTATATTTAATCTGCAATAATTAACAAATAAAATTTTCCAAAAGAATTGCACAATACAGACAAATTTTACAAAAAAAAGCAACCTAGAAGCTATTATATGTATAATAAACAAACTACAACATGACAATAAAATACAAAAGCTTAAATAACAAATAGGCACATGATAGTTTGCATGGCTTTGCATATTTTATATGCTTTGAGAAAATAATGAATTGACGATAATATGTACTTTATTTCATTAATATCCTGTGATGCAAGTAAAGTTTTTATGCACATTTTACTTAAAATGCCTATGCATCACATTTTTGGCAAATATTAGGTGTATGCCATCACAATAACAATGCTGTAATCCATTCTACAAAACCATCACAATTTCTCTTTACATCATTCTGAAGATAATGGATTGATCAGGAAATTAAATGCTTTAACAAAAAATTCAAACTTTTAGTGTGCAGATCTTTCACAAATGACAATAATGCTCAATAAATATTCCTGTCCATGTTTTAAAATTATTTCCAATAAAATACAAAACACATACTCAAATAAATTTGCATTTCATCCTGACATTCCTGACATTCCTACCATTTTTCTCTATCATTCTCACACTTCATGCTTTGTTATTTTTATCGTTAATTGTTGCTGCTAATTAAAGGTAACTGATTATTGTAAGCTATGTACAGCTTGTTTCTGAAACCTATGCTGTGTTCTATAAATAACTATGTTGCACTTCAGCTAAAATAATGGGAAAAGGTGTTTAAAATGGGGGTATTATACTATATATTATACTATAAACTTTTAAAAGATGAAAATTGTAAAACATAATGGCACAGTTTTGTAGGATTTCAAATTGAGACAGCTTATTAACTGGTTAATATTGATACAATATCCATGTAAATCAATGAATTTATGATTAAAAAATATTTTTTGTTCATTTTGCAAGAGGTTTTCACAAAAAAAAGGATAAACAAAATTATTGAGGCAAATTTTTTTTTTTTTCAAAATACCAAGTTTTTCGTACCTCTGAACCATGGACAACAAACCAATGATGTCAAATTTTTATTTAGGGCTTTTCCAGACTTAATTGAATGGGGGTTGGAAGGCACTTTTATTAAAATTTGATGGGTGGTGGTTATTTTTGACAGATAGACATTCTAATTATATGAAATTATCAATTAAAATTTTATTTTAGCCTTTCGACACCCCCATACATTTATTTCTGGAATAGCCCTTAGTGCAATAAAAAGAAATTACCCGCAGTTCTAGAAATTGGAGTTACATCCGTTTTGTTATTCATTTTGAAGTTTTTTGAGTATTTGGTTTTGGTTCCATATATTTACTTATTTCAGATTTGCAAACCATTAATCATGTGGTATCAAAAACAAATGCTCAAAAGACTTCAAAATAAATAACAAAAGGGAAATAACTCTAATTTGAATCATTATTCCCCATCTCCAGTTCTACTTTTTCTCCAACTTTCTTGTATTTCTTCATAAATTCTTTTTTGCTAAAAATTTTCATCCTGAAACTTTCTTTCTCTCTCCATGCTTGTCTCTGTGTTTACTAGTAATTTATTGTAAATAACTCATCAATGTAACTTTAAAATGTCACAGAATCCATGTTGAACTCTTCCGGTGATTTCACTTCCAATAAAATTTACATTAATGTTCTATATATTTCTTATCAATATATCATTTGATATAATCAAAATAAATATACAATAGTACAGAATATTCACAATATAGACTAGATTTTTGACTACATTTTATATTAAATTTCTAATCTATAATCCTAACTAGGTTAGATTTAATCACTATATTATCAATTCTTAACACTTTAATTAATAAATCTATCACTAATTTTATAATCAAACAATTTTCTATGTTAAAATTTTATATTCTTTACTCTGGTTATTTTTATTCATATACTAAACACTTACAATAAATGTCTTATTATGCAAATAATTATCAAAAGTATTCTATCAATTTTTGTTCTAAATACCCCAATAATGGTTTTCATAAAATTAATCAAAATATGAATAAAATCTACAGCAAAAAAAAGTAAATATCAGTAAAGCAAATTGTTCTTCAGGCTTTTCTTGAATTAGAATGCTTAGTGAGTATGCTCGATTCTTCATCCAACTGCTTTAACTTTTATTTATTTTCTCAAGTTACGGTTTTCACTTAATAAAAAAACTAATTGAACTATACATCACCCCTTAAATAAAATGGGCAGAATAGCCATACTTCAAAATTGGGCCTTTTTTACTTTAGGTGCCCAAACCAATATACAGCTATACTAAACCATCCTTTACCCTAACCCTAACCCATACCTAATCTTGACAATAGCCATTAAACCCAATCCTTACCTATTACTTAAATATAACCATAAATGAACCCTAACCCTTAAGTATAGGGACCCCTAAAGTAAAAGAAGGCCAAAAATTGTACAGAAGCATTTTGAAGTCGTAAGAGACAATGTCCGATGCAACAATATAAAAGTGATTGTTGTATGGCCTCAGTAGTTTTAAGTGTCGCAGATAAAAAAAAAACAACATATTTGATCATCAACCAGAAAAAAAAGATAAAATAACCTGCAATAATTAGTTCAAAGATTGTTCACATGTTTGTCAATTATATGCAAAACATTAAAAATAGATTATAAAAAATCAAATTTGTAATAACAGATTAAAATCAACATTAAAATGTAAGTAGATTACTCCATCAAATATCTAACACATATTGGCAAGGACATAAAATTAGAATGGAAATATGCAATAAAACTTTGTTTCTCAGTGTTTAAAAAATACTACACAAGATGGCTATGTCATGTGATAAAAGACTTGAACATGATTGGATGTAAAATTTGATCAGTGGTATGTGTATAGTTTTGATTTTAATGACTGGCCAAAGAACAAGAATAATACTCTTACATGAACATGCTTAATGGCTAAATCTATTATCATATGAACATATGGCATCCATTTCTTTTGTTGTAAAAACTTAATTTTTTGTTTTCCTCCCACATCAGCCATAATGGATTATGAAAGTCCTTTGAATGAGTGATTAAAGGGGTAAAGGGGCCATCAATCTGCTTACTCAATAAACACATTATTATTTATCTGATAGTGGGCAGAGATTTTCCCTTGCAATAGGTTATCTGTGGACCATTATATTTTAAGGTCCAATATGACAATGTATGCTGATCACTATGTTTACAGAAATTATCAGGCATTTTTGTAAAATACGGTGTTAATTATAAGATTTAATGTCTTAATGAGACTCTTAAACTACTCAGAAGAGGTGTGCCTACATTGGCAGAATTTATATTACAGATTACAGAACTGAGCATAATCCATTATTACTGCAAAGTTTATTATATATCAACTCTGGTTGGTCTCTAAATTTCCATTAGTTGCACTACTGCAGTTATCTAGTAAGCTATATACTATTAAAGTTGTTCAAAGTGGATTATTAAAGAGGTTTTATTAGTAAGATGAGAAAAATGAAATAAATTTGAAATGAACACATTGGTACACTGCTGTAGACAATAACTTAGCAACATATTATTACAATCTGTCCAAAGTTGTTCTTTACGAGTTCGCTTTGATGAATTTGGAAACTTTTTCATGGGCTCTCTGACAGCATTCTTTAAAATGTCCTAAAAAGAGAAAAATTGTTTGATGTTTAACATCTGAAAATACTAACTACATGCATATTTAAGAGGAAAACATGTTAATGCAATATAAATATACCCTGCTTTGTACAAGACCACGGTCTAGGTCAGATTTTTTGTTCATTCAGTCAATATATAACGCTGAATGTCACAGCATAATAGCTTACTGGTTGCAGAAGAATATTCTGTAAATTGATAACTGACAAGACACCTTTTGAAACTATGGAACACTGTGGGAGACAAAAAAAAAACCAAAATGGCACCTAACTAATCACATGAAGGGACCCTCAAGGTAACGGTTAATGTTAATAATATATTTACATAAAAGATATTGACATCTGTTTGAAATATATAGCACTAGGGAACTCTGATAAATCAACAGTAAAGTCACCTGAAGCAAGCTGTTCATTTAATTTCAGCACTTTTGATTTCAATATTTAAAAAATAAAGTAGCTCCAGGTAAAATTCAAATTGCAATAACCCGTTGTAATATTTACTACCTGTATAAATCAGCCTCTAATTCAGTGGTTGTTGTTTTTTGCTGTGCACATTTGTTTCTTGTTTGTTTTTTTTAGCATAGATCAGGTCATTGGTTATCTTTTTTTGAACTGTTTCACATTTAATCATGGCCTTTTATAGCCACTATCTGGTATGAGTTTTGCTCATTGTTGAAGGTTATATAGTGACTATAACTGTTTACATTCTCATCCTTTGATCACTGATGGATAGTTGTCTCATTGGCAATGATCTCACATCCTTATTTTTTTAATTATGGGTTCAAAAATTGTTGACACATAACATTACCTCCAGTTATATAATATATACAATGTAGTACAAACCTGGCATAACAAAGAAACCATGTGTAACCCCTTTAACTGTAAATGTTTGAGATTTTACTCCTGCTTCCTTTAACTTCTCATGGTAAGCTGAAAAAATAAAAAAGAGTATTATCTTCTTATTTTTATATTTACCCATTAATGATATTTTTCATTTGCATACCTCCTAAAAAAATCACTTATTTCATTTATTTCAGATTGAGTTATCTTCCTTGGTATGGGATATGCAGATGATGTTCTGGAACATGACAATACTTACCTATACTTATATGTCAAAAACTTTTCTTTTCGTTGCTTCATTAAAAAATAAGTTCCTTTTCTGAATTTATGATTGTGGATGATTTAATTATTTAGAGATCGAAGGCTTGTGAAAAATTTATATAGATTTCAAAAGGGTGAATTATATTATATCAGTATTACTGGTGATCAATTTTACCGAAAGCTTTATGTGAAAAAAGCCACTAGTTCTAGGAATTATACACTGATCAATGGTTACTAAAATCTGTTGAATAACATCCTTTGAAAAGTATAAAAAATAAATATGGCACAACATTTTCATGTTCTGTGAATTCATTATAATTTGTGTGATACCAATTTTCGTGGAGTTCTTTGATATAAAGTGAACCATAAATTCAAAGGTTCAATAAAGTACAAATTTTCTACAGGTTACAGTGTTCCAGCTTGAATCTCAGGGCAGAAGGGTGCTAGTTGTCTGAAAGGGCACTTTAGCGTAATAACCTAGATTGTAAGGGCACTGTTGGACAGTGTATAAATAATTACCTTGAATACTGCTAGGCTCAACTGGAGAACATTAGTTGTATTTAAACGATATTCAGAAATTAATCTGTTCTTGATGTTGGTTCCAGTAAGAATTTTTTTTATCAAATTATCATACCATGAAGCAAAGCATATCATTTTGATGTTAATCTAAACAAACTTGTACATTTGATAAGGAAAATAATTATCAGAAATTTCAATGTTTTATAACTTATACCAGTCTACAAAAATAAACAAGTATGTTTTGAAAGATGGAGTTATATATGCAAAATTGAATGTTTAATCTAATTAAATTATCTACATTTAAATTGCTTGAACAAACATATAGTATATTGTTATTAAAGTTATTTATCATCATTTCAATTGTTACAAAAAAATACTTTTAAGTGCACACCAAAGTGCTCCTAAGTAAGGAGTTTTATAAATATAACAGGTGAGACAGGAGATGATCATATTATATTGATGCAATAATATATTGCATATATTGCAGAAGGTATAAACAGTTACTTTTTTCTCCATCATTGTTTAAAATAAAAGCATTTGTTGAGTGCTCCTATGAAAGGAGGATTATAAAATACAAGAAGTAAAACAGGAAGTGGTGCAAACTTGTTATGTTCAAAGTACAAATTTCTTTGATTCTTTAAATTTCATACTCATGGTTATGAAACAAAACATTTTTTTTACCAATTTAGTCAAAACTATGTGTGCCTTTAAAATTGTTTTAGATTTTATTTTTTATATTATGCCTACTGAAATACATTTTTTCAGGTGTACATGCTGTACATAAACATTACAAATGGATAACATGTGGACATTTCATTCTGTATTAAATATCTAGTATTTGTTCAATTATCTTAAATCCACTAATTAGCAGTAAACAATCATTAACAAAGGTGATAAAACTGTTAAAGGCATTAGGTATTTAACTTAATCCCATTGTCAGTTAATTAGTGTTACACAATCAGGTAACAATTTTACCGGAAACGCCGATAGGCATGAAATTTGGAAATTTTAATTTTTTGAAAAGGCAGAGGGGTGCATTCTTTTGCTTTGGAGGGCAGAAGGGCGGGGGTAAGGGCACCAAGGGCGGGCCGCCCTTCTATTTAGGGCAGGCGGGAACACTGGGTTAATAGGGAAACTTTAACAACATGAAATAACAATTTTTCCTCCATCTATGAAAATGAGTAACCACAAAAATAAACAAATCCACAATATTGCTCATCAAATAAAAAAAAGGCTCTTTATTCAATATTATAAAGTTTGGAAGAACAAGAAATCAGCAAGCACTCTGGACGATGTTATATTTCAAGTAATCGTGTGACAACATTTACATTCTTACCATATCCATGGTCTCTATTCATATCTAATTCTGCCATTATAATCAACGCTGGTGGACATTTATTGAAACTTTTATACAACAGTGGTGATGCTCGTGGCTTTTCAAAATCGGCTTCATTTATATAATTTCTGTTGAACCTGAAAATTTGAACAAGATGAAACTAGTATTGGTAGGTATGTTTTAACATGATTGACTGATGTCAAAAAAGGATACCTAAATATATGTACTTACATACTCTCTTTACTTAATTATCTAACAAATGTCACATGGTTGTCTAAAAAAAGAAATCATCGAAGATACCAGGCTTTTGTTGGCCAGACTAGCATTTCGTATACAAAAAACTCATCAGTGATGCTCAATTATAAAAAGTTAATTGGCCAAATAAAATACGAAGTTGAAGAGCATTGGAAACCCAAAATTCTGAAAGGTTTTGCCATATACAGCTAAGGTAATCTGTTCCTGGTAAATGTTTGTACTATTTTGATGCATGTAATTTGATTGTCAGGCAAATTGTAGCAGTATCCATCTGTGTTCTTCAATGGACAGATATAGTGTAATCAACAAGTATCAGAGAATTCAACTCAATCTTGTCCTGAACTTGCAGTAGTGAAATGCGAGCTTTTGTTCTGTGTTGGAAGCATCACTGTAACTTGAGATGAAGAACAGCAATAAAAGAGCTACTACTTTGCTTTAGTTTGTCCAATGCATGTAAAGATTTAGTGTCATGGATTAACACTCCATATTTCTTCTTTCCATTAGACAAATACCTATGTCCCTCTTCTATCAATATTTGAAAATAAACAGAATCCTAATGTAACAAATAGAACAGGGCTGGCATGTTGAATGATTGTCTGCCTTAACTCAGCTTCAGGCCCTTGATAGACAACAGATAGAATGTCAGTCAATTACTTAAAACCTACCATTGTAATATCGCACTAGATAAGACAAGACCCTTCTCAAACTCTTTATCTGAATTAAAACCTACCATTGTGATATCTCACTAGAAATTACAGGGCCCTTCTCAAACTCTTTATCTGAATTAAAACCTACCATTATGATATCTCACTAGAAATTACAGGGCCCTTCTCAAACTCTTTATCTGAATTAAAACCTATCGTTGTAATATCTCACTAGAAATTACAGGGCCCTTCTCAAAAACTTTATCTGAATAAACCTACTATTATTATATCTCACTATATAATACTAGGCCGTTCTCAAATTCTCTATCTGCATCAAAACCTACCACATTAATATCTCACTAGATAAAATGGGCTCTTCTCAAACTCTTTATTTGAATTAAAACTTACCATTGTAATATCTCACTATATAAGACAGGGTCCTTCTCAACTCTTTATCTGAATTAAAACCTACCATTGTGATATCTCACTAGAAATCACAGGGCCCTTCTCAAACTCTTTATCTGAATAAAAACCTACCATTGTGATATCTCACTAGAAATCACAGGGCCCTTCTCAAACTCTTTATCTGAATAAAAACCTACCATTGTGATATCTCACTAGAAATTACAGGGCCCTTCTCAAACTCTTTATCTGAACTAGACATCATTGAGATGGGAGCCATCTCTGTGGGCCCCGCTGTAAATAACGTGTGGTAAAAAATTTGTATCTTTACCATAGGACATGGGGTTGTCATCTGAAACCAAAGTTTTTGACCTTAACCTTTGACCTAGGAAGTTGTACATACATTATGACACACCCTCTGGTGTTGGTTAATATACATGTCAAGTATAAACTTTGAAATCATAATGGTTCTCAAGATATAGAGTGGACACGATATTTACCATAGGACATGGGGTTGTCAACTGAAACCAAAGTTTTTAATCTTGACCTTTGACCTAGGAAGTTGTACATACATTATGACACACCCTCTGGTGTTGGTTAACATACATGTCAAGTATAAACTTTGAAATCATAAGGATTCTCAAGATATAGAGCGGACACGATCTTTACCATAGGATATGGGGTTGTCAACTGAAACCAAAGTTTTTGACCTTGAACTTTGACTTAGGAAGTTGTACAAACATTATGACACACCCTCTGGTGTTGGTTAATATACATGTCAAGCATAAAGTATGAAATTATAACGGTTCTCTAGATATATAGAGCAGACACAATTTGTTACGGACGGATGGACAGACGGACAGACTGATCACAATAGGGCGACCCGCCACTAGACTGGGCCCTAATTGAAACCTATTGTTGTAATATCTCACTGGATAAGACTATGCCCTTCTCAAACTCTTTATCTGAATACCGGGTTAACCTATTATTATTATATCTCACTAGATAATACTAGGCCTTTCTCAAATTCTCTATCTGAATTAAATCCTACCATTGTAATATCTCACTAGATAAGATGGGGCCCTTCTCAAACTCTTTATCTGAATTAAAACCTACCATTGTAATATCTCACTAGATAATATGGGGCCCTTCTCAAACTCTTTATCTGAACTTAAACCTACCATTGTAATATTTCACTAGATAAGACAGGGCCCTTCTCAAACTCTTTATCTGAATTAAATTTTCTTCTATAGTCTAATGAAGGATAAACTAAAACCTGAAATGAAGAAGAAAAATCTGTAATCATAGTGAATTCTTGAACATTAAATTGATGTGAGGATATCGGAAATTCAGAAAGGAGTAGGTCTGGTAAGGGCCGATTTTGGCCTCAAAATTCAGGTTCATCTGATGAAAGATTTTAGACACTTTTTACACACTTAAGTGTCTACTTCAGTCGATTCAATTAGTTTATGTGAAAGATTTTAACTGATTTAATCATTAAAGACGCTCAAATTCAAGCTTGAATATGAAAAATCTATCAAATATGCCATAATATGTCACTTTTCAGATGGTTTTGTCAAAAATGAAAGTGGCCGCATCCGTGTTCATTCTCAATCTTTATAAATGTTATGTATTATCATCAAATACATTTTACATTTAAATATTAAGAATGAACACAAATGCGGCCACTTCCATTTCAGACGGAAACCGTCTAAAAATTAACCAAAATGCTAAAATTTCGAAGATTTCAGTAATTTAGCATGACTTAATGATGCTAGTACCGATACATGTGCATTGTATTGTCAAAAACAGCCCAAATTTATGTAACAGAAGTATTCTTCTTTCCAATAAATAGCTAAAAATTTACATTTTAACAATTTTGTAAAACTGCTATATTTTGGGGCTAAAAAGGAGTCTTACTGGGCCTACTCCTTTTGCCATGCATTTGTTATTGTGATTTTCAAAAAATGTAGCATACAAATGATGCTATCAAATTTAAATTGCAAGGTTCTAATTTTGCAGGTCCATCCCCCTCACACTTTTTCAAAATAATAACTATATTACAAACATTTTTTTAATTAACAATTCATTTGCAGTATCACTATGAGACATTTTAATGTTAATCAACTAATTTTTGTGGATATCTTTTTTATCAACATATTTTTTTATCAATAAATATCAGTTATTTGTTTCCAAAGATTTCTAAAATACGGATGGAAGTATAATTATACTTAAAATCAATGAAGCATAGAATGTTGGTTAATGTGACAATAAAATCTGAACTAAACTGTACTTTACCAGAAGGATTTTAGTGTGAAATATCATAGCTTTTTAATCCCAGGTTTCTGTAGTCATTTTAAAATCAAATTTAAAATAGTATTTCATAGGAAACTCCAATGTAAACAATACATGCTAACCTGATAATTTATATTATATTCTTCATGACAGACAGAGGCCGCTAACCTTCCTCCAGCACTATCACCACCTACACCAACTGTACTTTCATTTACAGCACCTGTAGAAAAAAAGTTACTACATAATTTTCTCGCATTCTGTTTTGGTTCATTGATTAATTGATTAAAAGAATTTCAAAGCATGGCTGAAAACACATCCACCGACCTAATCATCCTATTTTGAAGTTACCCTCATCCTGAGTTAGAAATTGTAGTTCTTTCGTTTCTGTGTGTCTTGTAATTCAAGAAATATCTAGTTAACTTTTGGTTAGAATGATAACAAATTATGGAATTATCTCCCCTTAATTGTTAAATTCTAGTGCATTTAAACCAAATAATATCTTGAAATACCAGAACAGGAAAAGGAAACGAATGTTACCGGCATATTCATAAACCATTAAACATTCTAAACTTAAATAAATGTAAAATTGAGCTGGTTTTTGTTTGTCATGTTTTATATGTTTTAAGATATATCATCCTACTCAGGTGCACTATTCTGACACTTAGCCGACAAGTCTTTGCCCTTATTCCTAAATGGGATAAGCTTGACAGAGGACCAGCAAATACCAATTGTAAATTCTTTAGTTTGAACCAACTGGGGATAGGACTAACAACCTCCATTACTTGAGGTGAGTTTTCACCCACAAGCTTTTTGAGGTAATATGTTCTGTGTTGAAATTGTTACTGTGAAGATATTAATTTTCATTATTGTTGGGTACCTGCAGTTATCATCTCCAGCAGTAGTTCTCTTGACAATAAACAAAGATTTTAATCATACCTATTAATCCTTTGTTCATTTTGACCCATCGTACAACACAGACAGCATCTTCATGGTTGGCTGGGTACTTATGTTCTGGTCCACATCTGTATTCTACATTTACCACAACACAAGGGGCATCCCTAAAAATAAAACAATATTTAATTTACCACAACACAAGGGGCATCCCTAAAATTAAAATAATATTTAATCTAACAAGAAAGAACAAACTGTCATGCTAAGCTTACACCCACCTGTAATTCAAAGTATATGAAAACAGGAAGTAGGTGTCTGACAGATGCAATAAGTGTTCACATATTACAACTTATCACATTCAACTGCTGACTAAATATGAAGCCATTCTGTTTATTAGTACTGGAAAAATGTTTGAAGACAATTTTCCTTTGTTTTCAATATACTGAAAAATTCTGAAAGTATTGACAAACAGGAAGTTGTGGCCTGACAGATCCAAAAGTGCTCACAATTTACAACTCATCACTAACAAGCTGCTGAACAAATATGAAGTCCTTCTGTTCAATAGTAGCTGAAAAAGTGTGACAAAAAAAACATTTGTCAGAAAAACACAGATGAATGAATGGGCAAGGTGAATGCAATATATCGGTAACTCCCATTCCTAGAATGGGGTTATAATAATTCTGAAATAACCACATAAGATACAATAAAGACCTAAAGTTAAAGAAAGCCAAATAAAAATTAAGGACCTACACATTATCCAAAAAGTTTGAAGATTGATTAATTTATTGTATACAAAAAAGATCAGTGGCAAATATTTCATACAAATTCAGGATAAGAATAAATCATGCAATGAATCAATTGATTTTAAATATTAGATTTGTTTTGTAACTGGTCACCCCTCAAAGAATTGTTGCAGGGGTTCTTGAATGTCTTAAAGTCAAGAATTCCCAACAGGGGATATCTGATTTATCAACATTCTGACTAAACATACATTTACCAATGGAAAATTGATACTTCCAACCCCACCTTTCCAGGAGAAGTCAAGGTTACCAAATAAACATACCCCAGTCATCATTGTAGGTTTCGTTGATGTCATTCAACAATTTACAAAGAAAACATTAAGTAAAATCTTTTTCAAAGGATTGATACTAATGTAAAATTAAATAAGGAGATGTGGTATGATTGCCAATTCCAATGAGAAAACTATCCATCTGAGTCAAAATGAAGTGGATTTAACCAATTATAGGTCTGCCATAAGGCCTTCAACAATGAGCAAAACCCATATCATATAGTCAGCTTCAATGGGCTCTGACATGACAAATGGTGAAACAATTCAATTGACAATGGTCAGGTCATAGTGATTGATGAAATATAAAAAAAATCATTTACCAAAGCTTGTGAAGTATAAAAAAAGTATTCAGTTGATAGTTGTAATATTAGATATATATCCTTACTTTTATACCAAAAGAAAAAAATCTGTAGAATGGAGATAATATATTTCTTAGGTTCAGTGGGATACAACAATTGCTATATAAACTTGTTGACCTTCAGGAAGTTTTGTTTCCTGTACTGAAACCCAGTTAAATTTATTGATGCCTAGGTACTTAGTTACATCTTTTTATCAAGCTATTCCCTATATTAATGAATTATTTAAACTTCTGCACCAAAATTTTACAATCTTATCCTGTAATCTGTAATTGTTCTAAACATGCATTCATCAATAAACTATGTTTATACTGTGAAAAGCAATTTAAGGGAATCAAAACCAGGAGACAGCAAAGTTTGTTTTACCCATTCAATGGTATATATATGTTTATTTATTAGACTTGAAAGTTCAAAGAAGTTACAAAACATATAATATTCATGTCGTGATTAGGTTAAAATCATTGATTGGTTTACTGTAAATGGTTTGATAAAGATAGCCTATTCAATTATGTAATTCCTTCTACAGACTAAAGCTTCAAAAATATCAAGTAATTGTCAACAAGTTTAAAAGGAAGGACCCATTATGTAACATCAGGATTGAGCCTATTATCTTATTTGGGATTCTGAAATCAGCTGATCTTTTGATTGAAATATATCTACATTTGAGAAATTTCATTAACCGGTAATTTTATTGGTAATTTGGGATTTTTCCTTTAATCTTTAGAATGACTTAAATCAAATAATTTTATTGATGTAAATTCCAGTACAGGAATGATACCAGCTGACATTTACAAAATACAAATACAAAAATAAACCTGACATTTACAAAATACAAATACAAAAATAAACAAAGACTTAAATGAGAAAATCTTTAAAGATAAATAGAGATATTCAAACTCATTCTCAGAAACAACTCAAGATGGACAGTGGACCAATACTTTGCCTACAGGCTTGAAATATTCTTAACAAAGGGTCAAACAGCCATAAAACAATAGAACTTATCGCTATTTGGAAATCTGCGCCACTTGACCCGAGAATCTGCCCCTCTTGAACTATTGAGGTCATACAACAATCACTTTTCAATTGTGGCGTCAGATATTTTCTATTATGACGTCAAATTTTTATGGGAATCTTTGTGATGTCCAGTAATAGCGGACAAATAGCGATAAGGTGTATTGTATACTTTGCATATATAGCATGAAGATAAATAACATAAAGCACAACATTCACTGAAAAAGATATATGAAAGAAACGTACAAAAAACACTATTTACTGACAAAAACTAACTTTGGGGATGCTTGTGTACATGTTGTGTGTGTTTTTTCTGAAAATAGCAAATCTTTGGAAAAATTTAGCCATTCTCCCCTATGATGTTGTTTCTTAAATGACAACACACTTATATCATTTCTGCATTCCTATTTTCTTAAACCTTTAATGCAAGTTTTAAAAATAATATCAATTATTAAGATTGGAAAAAAGTAAAATATCAAAAATACAGAACTCCTAGGAAAATTCAAAACAGAAAGTCCTTTATCAAATGGCAAAATCAAAAGCTAAAAGTTTTTATTAAAAAAAACTTCATTTTCTGTGAATTCAAACCTAAAACTTCTTTCACTAAAATAATGCTAATGAAACAATTGCTAAAAAATCACAATATTTTTTCATGATCCATATTACGGGTAGATGCATACTAATTAAAATTAAGGCACTAGACCTTCATACACTAACAATTCTAAGTCTGAAAGTCTGAATGAAAATATTTAAAATCATAATAATAAATTTTTCAAATGCTCTAATTTTTACAATTCTTTCTTATACCATCTGAATAGCTTTATATAAAAAGCAGAGAACCAATATGTGTGATGTAATATTTCAACAAGTAGTAAAGCGTTTTCAATCAAGTAAACTTGTCTTATTGATTACAAATATCTTGCATGTTTCAATCTTTCAATTTTACGGCTAAGATGGATGTTTGAAAGATTTTTGGTGTTTGTACAAAATAATTGATGAACCCAATAAAACTTGGAATACAGTATTACTCTATACAATCTACAAAATTTGTAATTAACTTACACAGAAGACCAATAATTATTTTACCACAGTTATTTAACCAAATATAGAGAGGTGTGAAATCTAACTCCAATTAATTTCTGTCAATTTCCTTACGGAAATAAAACCTGTCAAATTTAGCCAAGATACAGATTACTCTTACCAAATACTTTTCCATAAATAAAAAAAATTGTGTAAGGAAATTGTGTATTTTGGCTTTTATAGAAGCATTTAAAGAGATGTGGTGTTTAGTCAAAGAGACAGGAACTCATAGAAAACTCAACAGACAACTTGAGGTCAACATACAACAGGGGCTTAATTATCTTTCATATTGACTGGTACTTTTTCATTTGTAGGTGGTATTATTCAACATATTCCAAGAATACCTTATTTAATAATTCCTAAATTTAGACAGTACTGGATACCACCTCTTAATGAATGGCCTGATACAAGGGTTTAGTTATCTTGATTGCAACTTTCAAAATTGCTTTTGATAAAATTTATCACATTTGGGAAGAAAATAACAATAACTCCTTCTACTAAATGCATATTATCATATATCACTTGGAATTTCAAACACCAAACATCCAAGACATGAAATAATTTCATTATTCACAATTTACTGCACAGCACATCTATGAAGTGATATAACAAGTTGATGACTGCATTGCAATCTCTAATATTTCTGATGACTATGAACACAGCAGCAGAAGACAGATATTAATACTGTAAATTCAGAAATTATTGCGAGGTTTTTATTAATGCGAATAATGCGACTGGGTGACTATCGCAATAATAAGAACTCGCATTCTGATGTCTGTTACATATATCTGTATGCAGATTTTCATGATATCGCAATAATTAATCTCGCATTTTTGTCCATTCTTGAAAAATCGCAATAATAAATGCACGCAATAATTTCTGAATTTACAGTATTACACAAAAACCAAATCCGTTCATCTGATCTAATGCTATATATATTTCATATTTATGTGCAAGTTAACCTACTGATATTTATAACAACCTCAAGTATACTTTGATGTTCCACTTAATGTAGAGCTAATTGACCTGATATTAGTTTAACATTTCAATAAGCTATAAACCTAGGAAAAAAAATTTCAATATTTTTCTGTTTATCTACATACTTCATACTTTTTATGGGTGTTATAGATTTTCTATATACATCCCTGTATCTTTGTTTTGAGGAGATAATCAAATTAGTCAATTGCAACTTTCAAAGGGAAATGCATGGCTTAGTATTCGCCAACCTCCAACCTCCTGCTCCCACCCCCCAAATAAAAACCATGTGCTGTCAGACCAAAAGAGATAAATGGCATTCAAGAATTAAAAAGTCTTCTTGACAGAGGTAAAACAGTATACCCCCACTTTTTTAAAGCCGGGTATAATTACTTTTTACATATATCCATACCTAGAAAATATTTTACACACAGTATCAACAGTTTTCCGTGATCCCACCACATTTCCTCCACCATGGAAGTAAACAAACACAGATGGCGCTACAACTAACGCACAATTCTTTGATCTGTATACTGTAATACAAACTCCTTCTACAATATGAATATATTTAATGATTAAAAAGTTTGATCTTTTTCTTAAGATCCATTTTTCAATTTTGTTCTGAACAAACTTACTTTCATGAACTTGATCACTACTACATGTTCCCCTTTTTAAATAACACCTTTTGTGTGGATTTATTGTGTTTTGAGGTTGCTGTCTCATTGATGTATGCCCCACATCTCTTTTATTCATATCAAAACAAGAATGTGACCATAGTACACGGATGCCCCACTCGCACTATCATTTTCTATGTTCAGTGGACTGTGAAATTGGGGTGAAAACTCTAATTTGACATTAAAATTAGAAAGATCATATCATAGGGAACATGTGTACTTAGTTTCAAGTTGACTTCACTTCAACTTCATCAAAAACTACCTTGACCAAAAACTTTAACCTGAAGCGGGACAGACGAACAGACGGACGAACAGACGCACAGACCGAAAAACATATTGCCCCTAGGTGGGGCATAAAAATTCAAAACTAAAATAAAAGCTTTATCCATGTATAATGTATATGGGCAAATATTTGTTAAAAAGGTAAATAACTCTCAGACTGCATGTCCTCAGCAGTTTAATTCAGATGACATAAAATTAAAAGGGGAGAGACCCCAAGTTTACTAATATCAATGTGTCAATGAATTAATTCTTTCATATATCAATATTCATGTGTGATAAACATAAAAGCGTTACATTTCAAGTTCATAAAAGTTTTTTAAAGTTTTAATGAAAAGCACACAAACTGGGCTTTCTTTTGCCCACTCTTTATAATTAAGTAATCTGATATTGTGCATGAAACAATTCTCAACTAGCTTCTTCAATCAAATATTCTGCATAGAATAAAGAATAATTCTTTTGAGCTTCTTTGATGATCATGAATAATATCAAGTTTAACTTAATGTTCATCTGCAATCATATTCATAAACATTTTAAAATTCATAAAATAAATTTCTGCAACCAGATAGTACATGAGCACAATCATCTATGAACATAAAATAAATTAGAATTTCTGGTATTTACTTGTCCAACTGTTAGTTCAGATTAAATACAATCAAGCAAATAAGCTGTAACTGTGATTTTCTGACAATTCTCCAACTTTTTAATTAACTTATTTCTTCAATATACATATACACTATCTTTCTTCCCAAAGGCTGAAAACCACTAGCAAAATAAACAAACCGTAATTTGATTTTCATCCACCCAGACTTAAATGAGGGCAAATGAAAATTGAAATTTTTTTCATATTATATTCCATACAGTAAATTCTACTTCATTAATGAGCATGTAGTTTTTTAATATATATATTTTGTTTGTTTTTTGGTGTTTTAAATGCCACTTTTAGCAACCTTGGCTTTTATAGCATGGCAGACAGTTTTGTAGGTGGAAGAAACTGGGGTCCAGTGGAGAGAACAAACCAACCTTGCAGGGAAACCTGCAATCCTTGTAAATTAAGATGAGAGTGGAACACACCTTACCATTAGTGACAACCTCAGAGTTAACAAGCTGGTGATCACTGTAGAGTGAAATCTTAGACAACTCAGCCATAAAAGACCCTTTTAAATAATGACAATATCCTGTTTTAAAGAAACTCATAAATGCTGTGGAAAACCCTTCACATATGAATTATATACAAATATATCAATTGTTAAAGGATTTAATTCATATTTCATCTGCAGTCAAATTTTCTAAGATTGAGGATGGGAATCTATAATCTTGCATTCATATATTAAATCTTCTTTGCATTCGAAACTATCCTTGTATGTAATCCTGTTTCCTTATAATTCATAAGAGCTGCTGATAGTCAAGTGAACTTTTAACACTCAGAACACTGTTATAGTTATAAATAATAATAGAACTTGATCATAATTGATATGTTTTATAGGATGTACTTTAAAGTGATTGATCTGTGTAAAGTTTGTTAGATTGCACTCTCCCCAGGGGATCGTCCTAAAGCATATTTGTTGTATAATACTTTTATTCATAGATGCCAATTTTTATAGTTTTCATCGAAAATATGGTTCTAATCAAACTAGCCTTCATTTAAGTAAGAGACAGACTTTTATATTAAGTTATATTTTGAAGCCTTTTTGTTTATAAAATTATTTGTATAAACGATATCTCAGATAGAATGAAAATGCATCCTTTTCGATGCAAATTTTTGCAATTTTAGCACATGAAGCTAAATCAAAGTTCTTTAAGCTTCAAGAATTCATCTATTAATTGTTCATATTCATTTCTTGTTTAGAAATTCCATTATGGAACACATTTTACATCATTGTAACCATTTTTTTAAGATGTTTCGGCCATTTTCTTTATTATCCTTTTAACCTTTGAATCCATATTCATATTCAGGTTTTACAATCCAATGAGAATTTCTAGCTTAGATAATAAACTGCTTCGCTGAGCGCAGCTGGATACGCCCGCAGAGGTCCAACCCTGAACAGTTGGGGCAAAAATGGACACAATATTCAAGCTTGATACAGGTCTGAATTTGGATTGTATTAAATATTTGACATGTTATAGGTTTCTGAATAAATGTAGTCAAAGAACTTGAAATTGGTTAAATGAATTGAATTTATATTCAATTCAAGATTTCTTGCTGTTGTGCAATACACTGTGCTGTTGCGCAATACTTAGTAAATCTGTTGTCAGACTATAAACAAATAAAGATCAATTAATTCTCAATGTCATATTAGAAATTTATAAAAATGTAAAGGGAGCTTACATCAATAGAAATAAACAATTCACCAAAGTTTCATGAGAATTGCTGACAGCATTTTTGAGTTTTGATATTGTCCGAAAACTGTAAAATCCTCCCTTTTTTAATGAATAAAACCCCATAACTCAGAAATGTAAAATGTAAAATGTAAAATTTATAAAATTCTAAACGGAGCTTACATCAATAGATATAAGCAATTCACCAAAGTTTCATACGAACTGCTGAAAGCATTTTTAATTTTTTTTACGAAAACTGGAAAATCCCCCTTTTTTTATGAATAAAACCCTGTAACTAGGAAACGTAAAATCTAAAATATATAAAATTGAAAGGGAGCTCATGTCAATAGATATAAACAATTCACCACAATTTCTTGCAAGTTGGTGAAAGCATTCTTGAGTTATTGTCCGAAAACTGGAAAATCCCCCTTTTTTTAATGAATAAAACCCCATAACTCGGAAACGTAAAATCTAAAATTTATAAAAAACAAAAGGGAGCTCACGTCAATAGATATAAACAATTCACCAAAGTTTTATGCAAATTGGTTAAAGTGTTTTTGAGTTAATGTCCGACATGTTGACGACAGACGGACAGAGGTATACCATAATACGTCCCGTAAAGGTGCGTATAAAAATGATGTCATCTTCGATTTCTGGCCGTGACAAATGGTCGCTAAAACTCTTTATGATTATTTTTTTTTCAAAAGTACACCTTTTTACCCCCTTTAATGTTTATTCATTTATTTTTAGTTTGGTTCTAATCTAACTATCTGAGAACAAATAAATAAGGTACCAATCTACAATCGCTTTGTTCGTTTGCTGGTGTTTAAAGTGACTTTCAGCAAACTTGGCTATATCATGATGCCAAGTTTTTGTGGACGAAGGAAGCCGTAGTAACCTGTAGTAACCTGAGAGAACCACAACCTTCAATAAGTCAACTAGCAATCCTTGTCAATCAAGATAAGAATTGAACACACTTCACCATGAGCAGGGTTCAGACTCATAACCTCAAGAGTTAACAGGCTAGCGATCAATGTGGAAAAACTTCTTACACCACTAGGCCACAATTCATTTAGTGGCACAGTTGAAAGGATATGCAGTTAATGCCATCAGATAGGGAAATGGAGTGAAAATCAAATGTACTCAAATTTGCAAAACATAACAAAATCTTTCAGAAAATATCTCTTTTTCAAGTATTCTTCTTATTTTTTTAGGGAAGATAGAGGTACTTGAACACCAAACTAAGAAATCTTAATAATGAAATATAAGTTATTAGTTAAGTTCACTTTTTACAATTTAATTGATGAAAATATGCAAATGGGAATTTAAATGAATTTGCTGGCCATAAAAAGCACATCCTACAAGTAAAACTAATTGAATACCACTTGTAGTTAAATAACTTAAAATGCAGTTTATTTGGTACGACCCAAAATACTTGACACAGATACTTGTTTTTAAATACTTGTGTAATTTGTTTTAAACCTGGGGGTATACGTTAAATAACATCATGAAATTCAATCAAAATTGTCATCTTAAATTAAATGGTATTATGTTAAGTAAAAGTCAACATACATTTTTATGTGGCCAGTCAAGTTCAAATATCAGAAGACATTTATCTGCCTAAAACACTTTAACTACTTATTTTAACTTTAAAATTCAGACAGTTATGTATTTTTTTCTCAATGTCTGGTTTGAAATAAAGCCAATATAAAAATGATTCAAACATGTTTCATGAATATTTAATTTGGATCAGAAAAAGTTTGACAACTTCCATGAAACAAATCATTTAAAATCAACAAAAGAGCACTGCATTAATTAACTGACTTAGTTTTTAGTTCCACTTTAAACATGGGAGATAACTCAAGTTACCTTTATTAAATGCACTATCATGTACAAAACTTATTAATCAGTGCACTACACTAAATCAACCAGCATGAGATCAAACTGTCAGAATGACCATCAAATAGTTGGAAAAAACTCCTAAAATAACAACGATATTGATTATTGGTTAATTAACATCCAGTGGCAAATATTTCATGTTTCAAGAACAATACCAAATTTACGTTTAATACTACAGGAAGATTTGGCAAGGTAGATCAACTGGGATCTATGGTAAGAAAGTTTGGCTGCTACTAGAAAAATATGGTACATTGATTAGAACAACAGGCCATCTACAGACCCCTCAAAACCAAAATACAAGATATATAAATAAAAATATATACATAGACATGTAACATTCCCAGATGTGATATTAATTTGTTTATTTAACCCTCCAACTA